AGCAGGAATAAATATCCCTGGCAGCCAGGCCACTTCTCGTACTGCAGCACCACCGGTTTCTTTTCTTCATGTTGCTGCTGTGTTAAAACCGTGAGGGAGAGTGTGGTGGGAAGCACTTACATGCAAAACCTGGTGCAGTTTTAAAGATGAGAGCTCTCGACCAAGACGGGGCATCTCCTGGAAGACAGCAGCAGCCACGCCGCTGCTCAGAAAGATGTTTGGCAAACTGTGAGCGAGCTTTATCAACAGCAGTGGCCACTTGCACTGCCCCAGCGCTGGGCTCTGCCGTCCCTGCCCCACAGCCCCAGCCGAAATGGGCGCAGGGGATGAGCACCCACCCGGGCAGCAGTGCAGGGGAGCTCCCTCCTTCCACGTGCAAATGCCCCTTGTTCCCAAGGCTGCTGTTTCGCATAGGAGCCACTATTTGCAGATTTTTGCGGGCCCAGTATTCAAGGATTCTTTTGAATATCTGTCTCTAAATCCAATATTTTGTTTGCTTGTTCCATTCACAAGCAGTGTGCTCCAGCTCTTTTGATGTTACTAATGTAAATCTCCAGGTTTTGGCATCCAAATGAGCGAGCTCAAAGTCTCCTCAGCAAATTGACACTGTTCCCTGGCCCCATGGGGTCCTTCTTCTTTGTGCCCTCCCCGAATCCCCTGTTACTGTGGGGCAGCCCCACACAGACCTGGGCACGCACCGGGAGCAGGCAGAGCTCGACACAATCCTTCATCCAGCCCAGCTGGAGACGCTGGCAAGGCGGCCTCAGAGCAGCTTTCTGGGAACCCTTGAACGTAAATTGCAGGGTTTAGTGTCCATGAATGAGTGCCCAATTAATTTACACATGAGCATTCAATAATTGCATGCATGAGCACTGAATGAGTTCACGCAGGAGCACGCAGTTATCACGTGCACAAACACCAAACTGGTTCCCGCAGGAGCACCCAAGCAGCACAGCACGGGGACCCAGGGGAGCACGCGGCGTCCGTAGGCAGCATCGGCACCCTGCCAGTGCACGCACAAGCACCCTGTGCGTTCACCTCTGAGGGCTGTTTTGGGCACAGACTGCCTGGTTTAGGCAACAGCATGTGTGTGGGAGGAGGCCAGGGGCTGCCCCGAGCCGCAGCCGGTGGGCACATCTGTCATCTCTAATCAATGAGCAGAAGTTTGTGTTAACTGGCAATAGATTAAATTAATTAAAAATTCCCTTGAGTTGAGACTATTTTGCCCACGGCCAAGACTCCCCAGCCTAAGGACAAGGCTGAGCATCCTTTTCACCAGGGCGAGTGCCCACAGTCCCTGGAGAACCGTAAGCAGAGGAACCGTTTCCCCTCGGCAGCTGGGGAGCGGACCTCAGGCTGCTCCCCCCGCTGTGAATCCAGCAGAAGGGTCTGCTCCAGTGAAACGGTGCTCCGATGAAATGGAGCTCTCTGGAGGGAAAAGGCTTGGGATTTCAAGGGTGAGAGGTCGCCCAAGGTGAGGAGAGCACGGGAATCTGCCTTCAAAGCCCAGGCCCAAACTGCCAGCCTTCACCAGAGACCCACATTAAGAGTAAATGAAAAATTAAATGCACTGCCACATTTACTTCCCTTTTCTCTGCATCTGATTTCAGGGTGAAGACTTATTTAATACATTTGAGATAACAGATTAAGTAGTAATTTCAATTATGTGAGTGTCAACCCATTTAAATTAAGTTATCCTCAAGTCACACAGAAGTGCTAGTCAGAATCCGGTTTTGCATTTTTTTCCTTCCCCACTTAATTATTTCTTCTTCAACTGCACACAAACCAAAGTGCAATCAATATTATAGGAGAACTTAAGGACTGATCTGGCCAGGACCCACCAGCACCAGGCGAGAATGGGTCAGACTTGCTGGATCAAACGACAAACAGAGTTTAAATCTGCAACTGTGTGGCGATTGAAAGCAATTGGTTTGAGGTCGACATTATTTCTACAATTCTACATGCCACTTGACACGAACACTGAAAAGGCGAAGTTCCTGCTCAAAGAGCTTTCCGTCAAAGTCACGTCGAAGCGATGCAGGGGCAGTGCAAGGGACGCGACTCAGGAGCGGGACAGTGCACAGCTCCGTGCTGCCAAACCTGTGTGGGAAGAGGGCTCATTGCAGGAAATATGCTTTAAGTACAGGTTGAGTCTTCTCCTCGTGGCCATGACTCAATTTGGATGCAATTTCTACACGAACCACCCATGTCTGTTGAAGATCCAGTGTTCCACACCTCGCAGCTCCACGACTTAACGTGACGGCCCGGTGCTTATCACGCGTTGCTGTTGCTGTTAATCACCATCGAGTCGGACACCCCACGGAGCAACCTGTGCCGTCCTGCTGGCGTTGGCAGTGTTGCCTCCCTTCCACGCAGCCGGCAAACCATCTGGAACAACTTGCGGGACTGCAGGGCTCCTTCCAACCCCGGGACTCCTGTGGGGGAGAGCTCTGCCCCTGCCCCTGCCCCGCACTCACCTGGCGGCTCCTCCTCTTGGGAACAACGCCATCCTTCTGGCACGTTTCTGGTTTAGCAGACCATAATCTTGGTTAACATTTAGGGAACTAATGAAGGAGAATGCCTTACAAGAACAGCTCTACTGAAGTAAACACGTCAGAAAGATGAAGCCTGCAGGTCCTGTTCCAGCAACATGATTCGGATCCCGCAGAGCAGGATCGCACCTGCACCCATCGCACGTGGCAGCGCAGGTCCGTGGAGAGCAGGATGTGCACCAGAGCCCTCCAGCTCGCTCTCGGGAGCGACCGGTGATCACTATATGCCCACCAGGAACATTATTTGGGTCTCCAAGTGCTTTTTGGTCATGTTGCCGCTCTCCTCATCAGCTGTTTCCCGACTCTCATTGATTACCTGCAGTGCAGCACCGGTCTCGTGAGAGGTCAGAGGGTGAATAGAGAAAAGGAAACCAAAAAATCGCGTCTTCTGCTGCGGCAGGACACGGCAGGTGTGTGCAGCCCCTCACCAGGACCTTGCAGACACTGGTGCTGCAGTCATTTGCAAAAGAAGACACCAGAAGAAAGAGCAAATGCCCGTGGTGAGGAGCAGCACTGCTCCTGCAGCCGGATCCTCCCGCAGACAGCTGGGCTGGGGCTGGGGCAGGTCATCGCTAAGCTGACACAGAGCTCGCAGCGTCCACATAAATCCTGCTTCCGCGGGGCAGCAGGGGCTCGCCTCAGACCCCCTCCACGCGCCCACCCGGCTCCGCAGACACGGAACGTCCTGAGGCTGACACGGATCGATGGGAAAGGGGCTCTCAGCATCCAAACCGCTTGGTTTCTCTCCCTCTTCTTTTCCCCTTCCTACCCACCTCAACCCACTGAAACACAGACTCTTTGCCATGTCCTACCAGCTGTCTTTCTGTGGAGGCTGGTATAATTTTACAGCGTTTGATCCTAAGAAGTTATGTTATGCAGTTAGTTTACCGGCTACGATCCCATTCCTCCTTCCTGACCCCCTGTGCTGCTCGTCCTCTTACACCGCAGCCCTGCGGTGACCTGCACGGGCAGACCCAACACCGTCGTGAGGATCCAGCAGGGTAACAGCTTTGCCTGCAAGAGTCTCGCTGCCAAACCAGGAGGTGGGACCAGGCTCAACAGGCTTTCCGCTGCCGCCAAAAGCCTGCCTGCCCTGAGGACACTGAGGGACAGACGGGACTTGTCCAAAGTCTCTCTGAGAATCAAAAAAGCACTCAGGTAACCTCAGCTGTGAAATGGCTGTTTATCTCTGGCAGACATTCCCAGGCTGGCGTGTTTTGTCATGTGCACCTACCGCACAGATCCACGGAAAAATTACTGTTAAAAGCCGTGGACTGGAGGAGAACCAAACAAGTCACCTCATCGGTTACATTTAGGTGGTCCCTGACAGACGTCGTTCTGACGTGCTCTTAAAAAGACATCCCTATCCCTCCAAAGACAGGGACTCCTTTATTGTGAATTTGTTCCAGGATTTAAGTGTTCTTGTAACTGGAAAGTTTTTCCAAAGATCTGCTCCAAGTCTCACTTGATTCAAACCAACACAAGGACTTTTTGTCCGCTCACAGCGAGTACAGAGAGCAACTGATCGCTGTCCTCTCTGCAGCACGCGGACAGAGCTGAGCCCTCTCTCCTTCGAGCTTTTGCAGGTTAAACAAAACCATCCTTTTCACCTTTCCCCACGAACTTCTACATCCATAGTTGTTTTTCCTGTCCTCTGGACAACGTCCAGTTTTTGTTGCTAACAATTTGGAGCAGCCAAAATAAGCACATAAAAGCCCAGTGCTGATGATAACGAAGTTATGGCAACAGCGATGACGACTCGATTGGCCCCACATCCACAGGGTGGGTTTGTGTAACAGCCTGATCTCATCCCAGGCTGATGCAGCCCCGGCCACAGCGGCAGGAAGGAGCCCCCCGGGGCAGGAGCCTGTTCCAGCGCGCGAGCCCATGAGTCACCCAGCCTCTCTTAGAAAGGTTGGACCTGGTGATCCTTGAGGTCCCTTCCAACCTGGTATTCTACGATTCTACGATTCTCTCCTCCCACTGCCGCTGCCATTGCCCACAGGAGCCGAGCGTGGTTACTGCTGGGCCGCCAGCTACGGCGGAAGAATCGCACCGGTGACACCGGGGGGATGCAGCCACAGGCTGCGGCGGCAAATGCCGAGAGAGGCCAACAGACTCCTCTGGAGGCACCGCCGCCGTGCCCGCACCGCAGGCGCTGGGCTGGAGCGTCCAGCAAAGCCGGCAGGGAAGGAGAATCCGCTTTCCCTCTCCGCGGCGCAGTCAGGCGCTCCCCCGCTCGCACGCGGAGCGCGAGGGCAGCGAAGCGGGAGCGGCTGCTCAGCGTGCGCCCGTTCCGCACCCTCCGCCGCGCCGGCCACTCCGAAGGCGAGACGCTGAGCGGCCTCGACATCGTGTGCGCTGGGAAATGCCGCAGGTTTGGCTCATCTCATGGCTGTCTGGGAAGTAACAAGGAAAAACATTACCAGCAACACAGCGAATGTTTTTTAACCAAAGAGAATGTTGTTATCCCCCTGACCCAACAGGAAAGCCTCCTGCTGACCACCACACATGGTAGGAAGGTCTAGAAAACGACAGACGAGGCGTTTTGGCTATTCTGCACACATTAGATGAGACGAGGAAACGCTGGTTTCCAGTGTTCCCTCAGACAAACAATGAGATTCCAGAAAGATGAGAGACTCACAGGAAAAAGTCAACTGGAACTGCAATGAGTTTATTTTTCTGTTTCAGGCGTAGAACACAATACATCAAGGAGTGCGCAGACCGCGGAAGGACAAACGTTCACATTTCCGCAGCTGCAATTACGCCGGTCTCATGGGCAGGGCCAACGCACCACCGGTTTCACCTGGGACAGGCCCCGTTCTCAGGTGCCACAGGGTGGAACAGCGTCACTTTTTGAGGCTTTAGGACTCGGGGTGACTTCAGCGCTGGCCATCCATCGCTGCATTCATCCGTGAAGCCGCGCTTCTGTAGAACTAAGGATTTCTGTATCGCCGTGTGTTCTTACGTGACCTGGCACCCACGTACGCGCGGACTCCCTCCCACGTACGGGAGGGACTGCGCGGACCGAGGGCCGGGGTGTACAACCGGCCGGGAGGGGAAGCCGCCGGGAGGGAAGCACACGTGGGGGCTGAATTCACAGCGGCCGGGCCC